TGAACTTTATGGCAGGAACATACCTGCCATTATTGAACAACCTCTGGAAGAAGAAAGAATGCATACTGGAAAGAATACAGTCACATATGAATCCAGACAGCTAAAAGCTTTGATTTATGAGATTATTGGGTGGAATATATAGTGATGTCTGATAATGTCTTTTATCAAAAAATGGCCTTTATTTAGATTTGGTTTCCAGTTTATCAGTATTTATCTTTGGCATCTTCACATGTTACACACTGAGCCTTGAACACTTAAAATTATAATAACAAATATTCTGCTGGAGGGACTTTTCCAGTTAATTAAGAAAAGTATGGAGCCCATGTATAAGCTAGCTCACTTTTGTATTCCCTCTGCCAGTAGTCACCAGGTTTGCCCTCAAGCAACAATTGCTAGAGTAACATCTTTGTATAAGCAAGTAACCCTCAATAGCAGTTTATATCGTAATTTTAGGCTGTAGAAAAGGTGGCAAGAGCCAATGAATTGTTAGAGTGGGTATGTTTGCTTTCCTCTGGTGACTGCTATATAAATGATTGCTAGGCCATGGCTGGACTTTTTCAATCAGCAAATAAAGACAGGTCCATTGTGCCATCCCAGGATAGATTGTGCTATCCAATAAAACCAAATCTGACCTTAACTGTATACTTCCACTCCATTTTTTTAGTCCTATAACCTCTGGGTCTCAACAGAGTCAAATTGGACCTTGGCCTAAGGTCTTGTAAAAGAACAGGTACTAAATGGGTGAGAATTATTTTCTTGGTTCTTTTCAGGTTACAAGGTTTGGTCTGTGGCTTAAATTTTCTTCCATAATTTGGTTGATTGGTTGGTCTTAAATTTTATACACTATTTCCCCTTGCTTTCTATTATTTATTTTCCAGGACTGATTGTGCCTCCTTGTGAATAGTGACAAATAATCAAATGTAAATCTTTCTAATGTGTTCAGCATAGGAAAAAGTAAGCAGTGAACTGACAATGAAAAGACTAAGGTATGAGTTCCAGACTTTCCACAGTCAAGTTTTACCTTCAGAAATTCATTTACCCCTTGAGGCCCCACAATCATTTGAACTACTAGATGCTTTTTCACAATTACTTCTGGGTGTAACATCTGATTCTGTACAGCCATACAGAAGAAAGTTGACTGCTATAGATACTTAAGTGAGTTGGGAAAAAAAATACTTATTTTAAGTGAATGTTTTCTGGTATTTTGGCTTACAGTAATTTTAATCCATAAGGTAAATGTTTGTTGTTACTTTTTGTTGGATGCTATAAAATATTGATTACTGCTAAGAAATTTGGATTTTTGCCTTTTTTCTACTTGGAGCTTTTTCTTATAACGCTTAACTATGAATGTATAAAAGGCAGTCCTTGTTCTCTGCTATGGTTGTGCATAAATTAAGAATTTTGTAAATATTTAGGCATTACTTAATTCCCTACCCTTTTAGTTTTACCCACTAATTTATATATTTGGCAGGAAAGGGGAGATTTGCTTTTCATTCTTCCCAAAACCACTATACCAAAAATGATGTATAAATGATACATATTCCAGGAGTTTTATTATCAGGCTATTATGTATTTTTTAATCAATTATTCTTGAAATAATTAGAGCTTCTCCAGCCCGAGGTGAATGCCTCCAGCTGCCAGTCTGCCAGAGCTCTGGAGCCAGAGGGCCAGGTGAGGTAAAGAGGAAACAGAGATGCAGCTATGTGACTTACTTCACAACCCACCTTGGATCCCCTTCGTGTCCAAATCTCAGTAGTTAATCAAATGTCTGCTGCCATTAAGAAAACAGAAGTAATGGATAACAGAGTGGAAGTAACAGATGCCAGAGCTACTTCTGTAACTAACTCACCAAATTGAATCATCAGTCCTCACACCCGTGTTTTATTTAATACTAGGAGGAGAGGTCATGCAGACTTTCCAAAAGGACAAAGCCACAATGAAAAGGAAGACAACCTCCAGTTTTTAATCCTTTCTCTTGGAGTATTTTCTTGTTCTGCCTTCAAAAGGTCTATTTAAGAGATAGTTGTGTTTACTGCCACAGAATGTATCACAAGATAAGAAATGAAAAATCTATCTACCTTCCTGCCCTCCTTTTCTTTCCCTATTTTATCTTTTATTTTCTCCCTTTTGTCAATTACAGGAACACTTCTCTGATAGCTGGCAGCTGAAGCCACAAGCAGATTACCAACCTTTAGCACTAAGTGTCAGGTAGGTAGCACTGTGATTATCCAAGTGACTTTGGAAACCATAACCACGCCTTTTTGCAAACTGAGACAACACTTATCTATAAAGAGTGACTCTCAAATTGATAAAGCCAGAGAAAATTTTAAGAGGACTCACCAAAAACACTGGATCTGTATAATTTGCAGAACGCAATGAGCTTTATTTGTACACTTGCAGTAATCGTTACCTTTTTCTCCTTGACAGCAATAGAAACACAGTGACAGAAATTTTAAAGAGTGCAGTATTTTCTAAAAAATGTTCTGTGACAATTGGGAATTAAATAGATTCTTAACTCTAAAGGAAACTTACTTTTCTGTAGCCATACTCATTTTATATTGAAAAACAGAGCCAGGCATTAGCCAGAAGGTAATTAATTGGTCATAGGCATAGTGTGGTCTTGTTTTAATATTCTCCTTGCAAGGGGGAGGGGAGGGTATGAGTCTTTACAAGGTGATTGCTTTACACTTGAATCCAAAAGAAATTGAGGTTCTTTTGGTTATTTAATAAAATCAGCTCCCTTGGATATTGGCCAAGATTGACCTATCACATATTGAAATCCTGTCTACAACTTCCTAATGTGTATATATTAGAAAAGGAATTGCCTTCATAGGGAAAAACTTTTAGAAAATAGAGTTCTGTATACATTTCTAGAATGAAAGATATGCATTTATTAGTTTAAATAGGACCTGCCAATAACTTGATTGTAAATATCATTGGGTGGACATATAAACTGAATCCAAGTCCTTGTTAAGAGTGAATTTGCACATTTGTGAAATTAAACACATCATTGCCAATGACTGGATCCCTCAGTTCAAAATAACAAATGACTAAAATTGTACTGTTCAAACAGGACCTTAATAAGGTGCATGAAAAAACATTTATTGCTATTATGTTTCCAGTTATTTTAGTGCAAGAGGCAAATGCTTAAGATAAAAGACACATCACTAAAAGTTTTCCCAGCACTCATGGCAACTGCTGTAAAATGTATGTCCACAAAGTGTCCACAGACTCTTGAAGAGATTGTCAAGACTCACCAGGAAATTATTGGCTGGTTGGTGTTTCTGTCTGTGCTGCATAAGGTCAGAGGCTATTATTCTGTGAAGACTCAACCTCTTGGTCTTAGTTACTCACAATTTGACAAAGCCATGTCCTAGGGTTTATGCACTTCATATATGGAAAGGAGAATATATACTCTGAGGAAGATAAGATGTTTAGTTCATCTTTAAGTCAGGAAATACTATACTTATAGCAAGAGATTATCACACCCTAACACTGTAAAGCAAAAGAAAGCTTCAGGAATTAAATCATAACAAACACTTCTCCAAAAAAGATTCTATAATAAGCTAAAACCACATGCCCACATATGTTAAGGAGTGCCTTTCTTTGTGTGTTTATTAGAAAGGCAAAACTTTTTCTATATTTAATACAGCATTTTTGTTTCCTGGCCTTTTGTTTTTGTACTTATTCATTACATTTAAACTGTTTTGACAACCTGCCGGAAAACAAAAGTGAGCTATCCATAATCTGACGAAGACACTGAAAGTAGTTACTAACCCTTTTCAGAAACTAAGGAGAACTATTTTTCTGACAATGTAAGATTTATAATGAGATGATTGGCAAAATTTTAAAATTATTCTAGAAATAATCATGTGAAATATAAAATGGAAAATCATAAATGGACTCTTCTATGATATTGTAGACATGACTTAATAGATTTTTTAAATTACAAATTGGGTATTATGATAAAAATTTGGAATGCATCCGCAACAATGAGCCCAGGGCTCGCAGACCATAATAGGTCTTGCCCAAGGTCACAGCCAAATAGTGGAAAACCAGGATCCGAATCCACAGCTACTGGCTCAATTCCA